GGCTTATGTATGTTACCATTCCTGATGTCCGATTTGTGTCCATTTATTCTTTTGCGGAGGGACTGTCTGGTTTGGCCGATGTACATGGCAGAGGGGCATTGCTGGCACATGATGGCATATATAACATTAGTAGATGTGCAGGTGAATGAGCCCTTGATGGTGTGTCTGATGTGGTTGGGTCCTCTGATGCTGTTGCCAGAGTAGATATGGGGACAGAGTAGGCAACGAGGTTTGCTACAGGGATTGGTTCCTGGGCTGGTGTTTCTGTGGTGTGGTGTGTAGTTGCTGATGAGTATTTTCTTCAGGTTGAGGGGTTGTCTGTAAGCAAGGACTGGCCTGCCTCTCAAGGTCTGTGAGAGTGAGGGATCATTTTCCAGGATAGGTTGTAGATGGTAGATAATGCGCTGGAGAGGTTTTAGCTGGGGGCTGTATGTGATGGCCAGTGGTGTTCTGTTATTGTCCTTGTTGGGCCTGTCCTGTAGTAGGTGATTTCTGGGTACCCATCTTGCTCTGTCAATCTGTTTCCTCACTTCCCCAGATGGTTCCTTATGCGCAGGGCGTGCGGAGGGGAGCTGGCCTTTTCACATGGCTGACACTGTTGGGGAGGGCTAAAGCAACAGCCCCAGGTAACTGATACCTCCAGGTGTGGGCTAGGGACTCAGCGGGGCTAAAGGAACCTAAGGTGAGTTAACCTGGTTTACACCAGCTGGGGATCTTCCCCTATGAGTCCAGTGGAGCTACGTCCCGATGACCCCAGCTGGGATCTGGCCTCATTGACTCCGGTGGAGCTATGTAACAATGACCCCAGCTGGGGATCTCGCTCATTCATGGCAATGGCTCTAAAACCAGCCCCCTGGTCCTGCTGTGGCCTTGAGGTGTGTTTTAAACTAACATTTAGAGGTTCTGTGCCTCTGCCATGGACTCACAGGACTCGTGCTCTCTAGACTCCGTACAGTCCCTGGGGGGAAAACCCTTCAGAGCCACAGCCCTTCTCGGGGAGCCACTCTGTCTCTCTGGAGTAAAACTGTAGGCCTCTCTGCCTCCTGGAACCACACCTCTCTGAAACTTCAACAAGCGTTTCACTCGCCTACGCCCCATCAGGGAGTCCACGGTCTGGCCCCCCGGGGCCTCCATGGCCAGAGGGAGCAATGCAACCCTGGTCTCTTGACTGGAGTGAATCTCAGCTGGCGTAAAGCAGAAGCATTTATTGAATGTCTGAACACAGCTTAGGAAACTCTCCGGGTCCTCGGGTCTAGCAACCCTCAGCACAGCACAGCTAGGTCTCTCCTGCATCCAGGGGGCCTCTGGCTGCTCTCTCTCCCCAGTCCAGAAGCCCTCTCCTTCCAGCTGGGCATCCGTATCACTTTCCCCTAAGCCCCATCTCTGTTCTTTGTCTTTTGTCCAAGGTAAACAGGTCACCTGGGCCTCCTCTCCTCTCAGCCTCTCCTCTCATCCATCCTGTTTCCCCACTGGCTCGAACCAGCTGGTCGGGTCACTGGGGTCCTCTCTCCGCAGCCATTGTCCTCCCACTGGCCAGAACCGGCTGCGACTTCTGAGCTGAGCCTCCCAGTCACCAGGGTCATCAGTCGCTGGGGTATCCATTCTCCAGGCCCTGGTCCAGGGTCCCTACTGCCACCACTGGCCCTCTGTAACAACAAACTCCGTCTCCCACCACCTTGCTAAACCAGTAACACACAGGGAAACTGAGTCCCACACCCTCTGCATGCAAACCAGTGGAAAAAAAGAAACCCTCCTGCTTCGTCACATCTCTCCCCCTTTTGAGTCGGAACTATAGAAAACTCTCCAGCATGAACCTTCAGCAAAACAAATGGAGTGTCTCAGAGATGGAGGGTGCCAGAGAATTTCACTGTTGTCCTACAGCCCCTGTGGGCACTTCCTGAGAGCATCTTGTAGATCCTGGAGGACACAAACACAAGGAGCAATGAAGGGTCATCAACCCTCCAGGCTCCATTTCACACCACATCCTGCCTCGTGAGCTGTGATTCACTCTGATCTCTCATTCTCAGCAAGATTGGGTGACCCCAACCGTGTTCAGTGCATTGCCCTGGGGGCGCCATGCTGCAGAGAGCAGGACAGGGGATCAGCAGGGGGCGCTTTCCCCTGGCAGGCAGTGCTGGCTGACATATCCTGTGTGGTGCCAGGGGGCACTGTGCTTCAGGATGGGGCGTGAGTGTCTCCTTAGGGTGCATTGTGCTGCTGGATTTGTCATCTCGTGGAAGGTGTCCATAGATGCTAATGACATGCCTGGTTGTTAAATACCCACTCTTCACATGCACAGTTCTTGTCCCCAAAATTCCCATGTCCACTTCAACTGGGCACATAAATTTTGCTCTGTTGAGCTCATGGATAGAGGTCCTGTGTCTTTGTACAACAGCTCCTGTGTCTTAACATAAGAACATAAGAACGGCCATGCTGGGTCAGACCAAAGGTCCATCTTGCCCAGTATCCTGTCTACCGACAGTGGCCAACACCAGGTGCCCCAGAGGGAGTGAACCTAACAGGCAATGATCAAGTGATCTCTCTCCTGCCATCCATCTCCACCCTCTGGCAAACAGAGACTAGGGACACCATTCCTTACCCATCCTGGCTAATAGCCATTAATGGACTTAACCTCCATGACTTTATCCAGTTCTCTTTTAAACGCTGTTATAGTCCTAGCCTTCACAACCTCCTCAGGTAAGGAGTTCCACAAGTTGACCATGCGCCGCGTGAAGAAGAACTTCCTTTTATTTGTTTTGAACCCGCTGCCCATTAATTTCATTTGGTGGCCCCTAGTTCTTGTATTATGGGAATAAGTAAATAACTTTTCCTTATCTACTTTCTCCACATCACTCATGATTTTATATACCTCTATCATATCCCACCTTAGTATCCTTATTTCCAAGCTGGAAAGTCCTAGCCTCTTTAATCTCTCCTCATATGGGACCCGTTCTAAACACCTAATCATTTTAGTTGCCCTTTTCTGAACCTTTTCTAGTGCCAGTATATCTTTTTTGAGATGAGGAGACCACATCTGTACGCAGTATTCGAGATGAGGGCGTACCATCGATTTATATAAGGGCAATAATATATTCTCAGTCTTATTCTCTATCCCCTTTTTAATGATTCTTAACATCCTGTTTGCTTTTTTGACCACCTCTGTACACTGCGTGGACGTTTTCAGAGAACTCTCCACAATAACTCCAAGATCTTTTTCCTGACTCGTTGTAATTAAATTAGGCCCCATCATATTGTATGTATAGTTGGGGTTATTTTTTCCAAGGTGCATTACTTTCCGTTTATCCACATTAAATTTTATTTGCCATTTTGTTGCCCAATCACTTAGTCTTACGCTAGGGGAGGGTGGATAAGTCTATGTTGGCTGGGATCACTGGTCACTGACTGTGCAAAAGCTGCTATGCCAACAGCAAGGGGGTTGCATGGAAGCGCTGAGTGTCACGTTGGGGTTTGATCCAAAACCGCCTGCCCTGTAACCCTGGGTGCCTTGAAATGATCAGCTGCAACAGCTCCCTGCTGGACATTCCCCGACAGCAGACAACCGTGTACCAGGGCCGGCTCCAGGCACCAGCGCAGGAAGCAGGTGCTTGGGGCGGCCAATGGAAAGGGGTGGTCCGTCCGGCTCTTCGGCAGCAATTCAGTGGTGGGTCCCTAGAGGGAGGGATGGACCCGCCGCCGAATTGCTGCCGAAGAATGAAGCGGTGCGGTAGAGCTGCCGCCGAAGTGCCGCTGAAGAATGAAGCGGCGCGGTAGAGCTGCCGCCGAAGTGCCGCTGATCGCGGTCTTTATCTTTTTTTTTTTTTGGCTTTGCCACTTGGGGCAGCAAAAAATCTGGAGCCGGCCCTGCCGTGTACTGATGATGTACTGATGGGTGTGTGAGCCGCCACCACCACTACCCCTTCCGGAGCAGGCTCAGGGCCCCGCGCCCCGGCGACAGCTCACAT